CGTTGTATACCGAGTGAAAATCGGCAGTCGAAAATATTCTGAGATTTAACATTTTGCGCTCGAGAGCCGCCTCTCAGTCGCCATTTGATTTCACCTAATTAAGTGATAGAACTTAAAATTCAATGTTAAATTTTATATGATGTATTAATACATGGAATTTCCAAATAAAATAGTTCTGTCCCTTAATTTATGCAAGATATTTCTTTACGTTAGTTGCAAAAAATATCATTGATATTTCATCAGGAAACAGTGAATATTTGTTGAGCAAAATATTCTCGTATGCAAAGAGTTAACACTTGAAGTACAAAATGGGTCAAAATGACTCATTCCTTGATTTTTTTTGCGATTACAGAGAAGGTATAAATATCTCTTTGAGAAATTATTAAAGAAACTGATTAACATTAGAACTAATGTATCAGTCAAAATTGCTGGTTTCGATTTTTTGTTATGTTTTTTATTTTGTTCGATATTTTGTTGAATTTTTTTACACATTGACCGGTCACGAGTTAACTCATGTTTGCACTTGCGTTTTCTAGGGTGGACTCAGACGAATCGGATCTGTTCAGATTTAACTGCGAGAAACTAGTATCAAGATATTTTAGAATCAATATATTTTCTCATAAATTTCTCAATAATAGATATTCCGCTTCAATATTAGTAAAAATAATTTTTGGAAAACTTAAGAATCTTTATTTTATAAGCAGAAAAGTGAAAAGCGAGAATTTGGAGCAAATCGGATATATCCCACTTTTCATTTTTCTGCTTATAAGATAAAGATTTCTAAGCTTTTCCACAATTTCTTTCGCTGATATTGAAGCTGAATGTCCATTAATGAGAAATTTATGAGAAAATACTTCGATTCTAGGTTTAGTGTTCTAACTAACTATTAGTGTTTCGCCTCAGAATTTGTGGCCAATAGAATATTTCTCATTCTTAAGCTTCCTCGCCTATTTCAAGTTTTGAAACGCAGGCTACTAAACTGCATACTTTAAAACAGCTACCGATCACCGAATACAATTAACCCTTTGCAGTCCGAAGTACTCTTGGTTTCTCACTTTGAAGTTCACGTCGACGTCAGTTCATTCTATTTCAGCTTAATATGGCTCTATTTATTTATTCAAGAATATTTGGGAGTCATTGAAATGTTACCTTTAAATGGTACAATTGTACTACAAATAAATATAGAAAAAATCGTTAAAACAGGTAGAGGTTGCAATAAAGTAGAATGTCGAGTCTGACTCGACGTAGGACTGCTAAGGGTTAACGCAACTTAGAATATACAATAAACGAGAAAGAAAAGTGGAAAAGGCTCGAACCCATCGTTTGCAGCGATGCCTGCATCGCCGCAAGTGTAAGCGTGTATATACGGTGGCCTTCAGAAGGAAGCTTTCCTCGAACTTCGGATGGGCCGACTCCGGTGTCGATGTTCCGCGGAGGAAACGGTGAAACGGTGATCCGACTATACGCGGCCGTTGGCCATGAATCACTGATAGGATCGTTCCAGCGCTCCGGGTCCCCTCGGGTTTAGAGGCGGGGGAGCAGCAGCCTCGTTTGGAACACTGGAAGCTTTCTGGTTTGATAGGTGTCGCATGATTGAAAGGTTCGCCTCGCGAGCCTGATCGCTTATCGATCGATGATTCCATTTCGGAACCTCCTCTGGGAACTTCTTGGCGCGGCCGCTAAGAGAAACGGAATAAGAAAGAGAGAAAGAGGAAGATGGACCTGGGCCATTCGGGCCAGCTTTCCTCGAGCGAGCAGGAAGATGTTCCTGGAGATTAGGTCCTACTCGAGGCCGATCCCAGGCCCGAGGAACGCCTAGCTTCCCCTCCTCCAGCTTTTTTCGGGCTGTTTCGTTCCGTCGCTACAGACAGGGCGAGATAACGATATTGAGATATTGACTGGACGCGGTCAACGGTTCCGATCTATTAGTCCGAGAACCGTACAAGATCCACGACACGAGGGTCCTGGATGAGGATGGGAGAGGATGGATGTCGGACAACGGGAGCCTGGCTAGGTCTACCTTGGTTAAGGTTGCGTTTAGAGTTCTGTGTTTCTTGTGCGTTTAATGATTGATCTCTTTGTGTTTAGTGGTATGCTTTGGTTAGGAAATTGTGGAATGATTGTGGGAACATTGATGGGTCTTCGGGTATGATCTAATTTTGAGGATTTCGTTGGGGTTTGGTGGAAATGTAGTTCGCCGTGTTGAATGGACGGAAATGTGTACATTGTTAACCCTTTACAGTTGAAGGTTTGTTTCTTTAACTATGATTGATATAATTTCATTATTACTAATAATTTATTAGGGGAAGATTAAATTTTGATGTTTATTCCAGGTCTATGTTTATTACAAAGGTTAATGATTGATAATAGGAAATTATTACTTAATTTCAATTGAGAAAAGTTGGAACGCTTAGTTTTGTCTAAGTCGATTACTCGTACTTAACATTCCGCATCTCGTACTTAACCCCACTTGCATCGAACCTAATGGAACAAGAGAAAACACGAACGATTAATTTCTGCTTATGAACATTAGAATAAAGTAGATATAAATGAAAACATTACTCACGTAGCAGAGCGGTGTTCTTAAATTGTTGCAATCGCAATCAGCATTTGCTGTTGAGAATAACCCTGACATGACGATGACGGAAAAAAGTGCGAGAGCAATACGAACTTTTTTATACATATTGTTCTTTGTTTAATTTTACACTCGTCTGAATATCTCAGTGGCTTGGTACTATGCACCTATGATCTGGTACTTATTTCGTATGCTTTTTATACCGAAAAGGAAAACGTTTTATACGACGTTTCTATCAATAAACATGTGTTTCGTGACCGATCGTAAAACTTCTAATCTGAACATTAATGCTAGTCGTGTACCATTTTAGAACTAATGGGTATGTTATGTTATTTACTCGTGTCTTGGATGGACAGAATTATTATAGTGTGGTTTTAGAATACTACAAAGATAAAAAGAAACTTATATTCACCGCATTTATTGTAGCGGAAATCGCGGAGGAAATAATCTTAACAATCAAAATGGTATGGCGATACCATTTACATGCTTTATGTGTTATATTTCGTGCAACTCTTTCTTGGTATCAACTCTATTTTAGATTTACGAAGTGGATCCTAGTGGCCAATTAAATCAGAAATAATTACTTTACCTTTAGTATATGATAATAGTTAATTAATGAAATATTATCAACCTGTAATCATATTCTCGAATGATATTAATGATTCTAATTCGAAAGTGTTAGCTTAAATTATTTCCTCGGAGGTGCTCATATATAATCGACCCAATCACGAACTCTTTATCGTTACATTGCATTTTTCGTAGCACTGTTATGAACTTACTAGATATGTAATCATTTACTATTTTTTATGGAATACTTTACGAAATTTCTGCAAGGAAATAAAATATGTAATATTTTATTAAACAATAATAAATAGTAATAAAATATTACATGTTTAATATTTTATATTTTAAAATGTATAATATTTTACTAAAATTGGAACTATTCATTATGTTATTAATATAATATATATTTATATATTTATTCGTCTGTGTTAACGATTCGACTGTATGAATACAGTGTGTTCTGTTGTCTAATTCGATTACTATTTAATTACAGCATTTTTTCCTAATGAAATTAATATTCTATACACTTCTAGTTTCCCATTGGCAACGACCGAAATTCGAGATATACAATCAGTAATCAGCAATTACTATCATTAATCAATTAAATCAACCACGAATCTCTCGATAATCAATTTCCTCCAACCAGTGGCTCCTAACTATCATTAACATTCACCTAAATCAATCACTTTTCAATGATCAATTTGTTCAACCATAAACATTAACTAATCGCACTATAAATCTTAATCAATTAATCCCAAATCTACGTAATGTAACCTCCACGACGTCAAAAAGGAGAGAAAGATATCAGTTTATTCAACCATAAACATTAATCAACCGAACTACTGGTCTTAATCGGTTAATCCCAAAATCTACGTAACCTAACTTACACGACGACAGAAAAGAAAGAGAAGTTTATTCCGGAAATTCGGCACGCGTGCAGCAGTGCCGCGACGTGCGAATGAATAATTAATAAACGACTATCTCTCTCACTATGTCGAATGGCCTGGGGAACGTCACTCGTGAATGCGAATCTTGTTTAACGGAGTTTTGACCGGCCTACTCGAGCACCGCTATCGGAAACTAATCCGACCATTAGGGTGACTTTACCGCTCGGACAGGGAGAGAGACGGATCGAGGGAGAAAGAGAGAAAGCGGCTTTGTCAGGGGTGGGCGGTTTGTATTCGGGAGCCCTGTGTCGTCATAAAGCGTCGATACATCAAGCTTTGCATGCGCGATATGGGAACCTCGGGTTCCTTTTCCATGACAGAGAAGGGGGCTGGAGCTAAGTCGCGGAGAGTTACGTCACGAGGAGCAGGTTCATGGGAACCGGCAAGACGAGCAGCGTTTTCACTCGGATTTACGTGGATCGATCGATGTTTCGCGATGACCGGGATCGATCGTTTTTCTTTTTCCTTTCTTGACAATAGGACTACCGTCAAAATGACGGATTTCAATTTTCTTATTTGGTAATTATGCATTGATATCTAAAAAGTGTTAAATATCCGAAATGGTTTTAGAGATAAAAGAGTTGTTTCTTTTTAAGTGGTATAAGTCTATTTTTGCAAAAATATGAGTTAATGGTAGTTTTAGTGAGATATCATTTTCTTATATTTATAATAAATGACGCGGGATATCCTCGTAAATTAATCAAAAGAAGTTCGATTGTGAAATGTTATCGCAGAAATGTTTTCTTTGATGGAATAGGTGCATTTGTAACTAAAAACAAACGATTGTTTTCTTTCACAATTTTATTAATTGTTAGTGCATAATAAAATTTAAGAAGTTTATAGTTTTATAAACATTACCCGAATTGAGTAATGTTTGCCAATATTTTTCCATTGGTTCAAACGCAAACCCTTAAACGCCTTAGAAAACCGGAGGAATTAACTATTTACTCGAATAAAATGGTTTATTACGACATAATTGTCAGGTAATGAACTGATAAATAAATAATAAGCTCAACAGGTTTTATTGAAGCATTTCAACATTTCTAGGTTATGTGTATGTGTGTAAATCTTGTATATCTGACAAACTTTATTTCTTCAAATAATTAGTAACATATCGAGCATTCGAAGGTCGTAGGTACTGGTATATATGACGTCAAAGTTTTACATTCTTCACTCCATGCTGCGACCGCCATATATAGCAGTTAACCCACCTTGCATCTGAACTAATGGAACAAGAGAAAACACGAACAATTAATTTCTGCTTATGAACATTAGAATAAAGTAGATATAAAGGAAAATAATACTCACGAAGCAGGTTGGTGCTGTTATATGCTTGCAATTGCAATTATAACGCTGTCAAAAGTACGCAGTATTATTACAAAACTGTGCATCAACAATTCAAGAAAAAGAAGTATTCAGTACTTACGTCCTTAGCATTTGCTGTCGAGAATAATCCTGACATGACGATGACAGAAAAAAGTGCGAGAGCAATACGAACTTTCTTATACATATTGTTCTTTGTTTAACTCTACACTTGTCTGAATATCTCAGTGACTTGGTACTATGCACCTGTGCTCTGGTACTTATTTCGTACGCTTTTTATACTGAATCAGTGCTTAAAATTATGGCATAGATAAAAAATTTCGAAAACAAAGGAAAATGTTTTATACGACGTTTCTGTCAATGAACATGTGTTTCGTGACCGATCGTAAAACTTCTATTCTGTACATTAATACTAGTCGTGTGCCATTTTAGAATTAATGGGTATGTTATGTTATTTACTCGTGTCTTGCATGGACAGCACTATTGTAGTGTGGTTTTAGAATACTACAAAGATAAAAATAAACTTATATTCACCGCATTTATTGTAGCGGAAATCGCGGAGGAAATAATCTTAACAATCAAAATGGTATGGCGATACCATTTACATGCTTTATGTATTATATTTCGTGTCTCATAAGGTTACATATTATTGTCATTATGATAAATGAAATACTTTACAAAATTTCTACCAGAAAATAAAACATGTAATATTTTATTACATAGTAATAAATAGTAATAAAATATTACGTGTTTAATATTTTATATTTTAAAATGTATAACACTCTATTTAATAAAATGTATAATATTTTACTGAAATTGGAATTATTAATTATAGTATTAATATAATTTATATTTATATATTTATTCGTTTGTGTCAGCGGTTCGACTGTATCAATACAGTACGTTCTCGAAATAATTGACTACAAACATGAGAAGAAACTTATGTTTACTCCATTTATTATAAAGGAAACCAGGTGAAAAGTGATCGTTACCAAAGGAGTGATAATTTAATGCGATTTACGGGCTGTATATATTATATTTCATAATTTTCAATGTTACATGTTACTGCCATTATGACAAATACAATTTGCAATTCCTCCTCGGAACGAACTCCGATATTTTTCTTATATAAAGTTCATCCTAAGTAACAATCAATTAAAAGGTTATTTTTAATGATTAATAAAAGTTAATCGATAGAATATTATTAACACACTAGGAATTAGTGATTTTGATTACCTTTCGAATACATTGACTTAAATTATTATTTATATTCCGGTCTAGGATTATTTGGAGGAGCTCAAATTATATACTGTTAAAGAATATACGTTATACAGTTTCCAGTCAGATAAATAATACCAAATCAATTTCTTACCGCTTCAGGTGGCGTAATAAAGAACGTTGACAGATAAATCACAGATAGAAAGAGGTAAACCTTCATTATCTCTTGCATGTTGTAACGTGTAAGTTCTTTAACCCTTTGCAGACGAAGATGCTTTGAAATCTACAAAGTCTTCAACGAATGAAGTTATATTAAATGTCAATTACTTAATTAATAGGAAAAAAGGAAACTTGCTGTCAAAGTAATTAAATCGTTTCTCTGCGACTTAGTCTTTCAAATACGAACACTTCATCTCTCCGAAATGTCGACGTTCGTCCGCAAAGGGTTAAACATAATAACATTAACGAACATTTTTCTCATTTATATATTTAACCAAATCCCGAACTCTTTACCATTAAGTCGTATTCTTCGTGACAATGTTATCAATTTACTATCAATGTAATAATTTACACTTTTTTATGGAATAATTTTTCAAAATTTATCAAACGAAGTAAGATATGCAATACATTACTGTCATACTTTGCTCTTGTTAAAGTCGTACTTTTATCTCTGTTACAGATAGTAAGTTTTTTTAGTAGAAAACCTGATATTGTGTAAAATAAAGGATGTTACAGGATGTTTCGAGCTTTAAATACACTATAATCTACGACGATCAAATTTTGTATGATATAAAAATATTTCTTCTAAGGTACTGGATGGTAATATAAATTAAAACAGTTTATTCAAAGAAATTGCATACTTTTAGAAAAAATTCACGAAAATAGAGTTTGTCCAGTTTACTGATTCTCTAATTGCGTTTTAATCGCTTCCGTTATTTTTAATGGGTACACTTTAATACATATTGCTTTAACAACTCAGTCACGAAGAATGAATTTAAATGTTTAACTTATCGCTTGTTCGATTAACCTTTCTTAACTGTAATTAACCTACATTTTTCCCTTTTACGTATACTGTATACATACTGTAGTCGATCAAATATTTCTGAGCTTTACAGTATAATTTTCGTAACTATTTTGTTACTGAAAATGCATGTATGTAATCATTTCGTTTTTAATTGACCGTTAGAATGCTAATTGTGGGCAGGCGAAAGATGCAGACTTCACGCCCCGTTTGTGCTGATTATAGCTTTAGAAATCAATTATTTTTTATCGTATTTCAAATTGGTTCGCGAGAAATGAAATTTAATGTACACTACCGACCAAAAATTTGGAATCACTACGTAAATTTAAAGAAACAGAACATTTTTAAGAAAAAATTAATGCCGTTAAAGTAACTAAGGAAGGTTTATTTATCAAAAACTTGTAAGTAACATGTTTTATAGTTTGTATTAATTTTTTTCTATTGAAGAACCAATATTTTTCTTCGAATTATCTTTTCTTCAAAAAAGCCGCCTTTACTTTTAATAACAGCTTGACATATTCTGGGCATCCTGACTATTAGTTTTTCAAGTGTTTCTAATTTTGTATCTTTCGTATATGTAATGCTCAACGCTTATTAGAGAACAAAAGTATCACGCGTTTCTGTATAAGCCGACAACAGGACATCTTTCCCGGTAGTAGGAAAGTTCATTTCAAACATTGTCTTAAACTGGGAGTATTACTTATATAAGACCGTTCCGGACATAAGAACTAGTTGAAATCTCTAAAATCATAATGCAGCGTGTTAATATCTGATATAATAACAAACAATCATTTCAAAGTTAATCGATACATTCGATTATGACGGAAGTCAGCAAGTGATTCCAAACTTTTGGGCGGTGGTGTATGGGTTAACCTGGTTCATGAGTTTAAGAAAAATTTTTAACAGGAGATTCAGATTTCAAATGTCAGACTGGTTGTATTTATTTATTTTTTATTTTTTAAATATAATGTAATAAACTGGTGGCCACCTAAAACAGAAGAATGAATTGCCTCGGGTATGTTTCCGTAAAACTCTGAAATGTAAGAGATATTAGATAACTGGAAAGAAAAGTTTAGGTTGACACGCCATGCATAAAGCAAGAAATAGCGGGAAAATTGTCAAAAAACCTGCATGCAAGAAAAGAGGTGATAAACACCAACACAGCGTGTAACATGCAAAAGCGAGGGTGAGATGAGCTAAGTAAGGTATGTACATAGGTATGAGCACTTTGATTTTGTAAGTTATGTTGTCCCTTTTGTAGTTCCGTTATATTTATGCAGTAGCTTATCGAGAAAGGTTTTATTTAGATTTGAAACAAAAAATTTGAAAAATAACGAAGTATACCTTTGTGTCTGTTGTTGGAAAAAAAGTGAATTATCTTTATTCGGTAAGCACTAACTTTAATCGCTACGAACATTCGGAGAAGCGTCTGCAAACTGATTTGACATTTGTTTTGGTGATTTTTATTATTGAGGAATCTCGTGAGAAACAAGTGATGAAAACAAAACACTGATACTACATTTCCAGAGAAAGATACTCGATGTGCAATAACTCGAAACGCTCGTCATGTGTACAATACGCTGCATCTTATGCAGAGCGACTATAGTCGGCCATAGTACGTCAGTGGTATTTTATGTAGAGTGACTATAGTCGCCCGTAGTAACGGAAGGGTTAACTCTTTGCGAACGAATGTCTACAGTTCGCCGAGATGAAACCTTCATGCTAAACCTAAGTCGAAAACACATGATTCAATTACTGAAACAGCAAGAGATCAGCACGTAGTTTCCTTTTTATCTATGGTTTAAGTAATTGATGTGCTTCAGTTTCACCCGCCGTAGGTTTTGTATATTTCAAAGAATCTTCGTCCACAAAGGGTTAAACATCTCCCCGTTGCGCACCGAGACATCAAGTGCAACGGCATCGGCGCGAACAAATCGCCGCCGATCCTAAAGAAACAAACGGGGCTCCCCGAACAAATAAACTCGAGGAGCTTGATTCCCTGTTGACGTCGGTGACTTAGCGTCCCGTTTACCCTGTGAATCCGTGCTTACTCGTCGAAAGGCGAGGAGGCGGGGTAGCAGGGGGCTGACAACCCCCGACTTTTATGCGGACCAATGTCAGAGGGTGCGACCAGCCACGTGCCGATCTCTGTGGGATCGTTTAGGGCTGGGCGTTAGAATCGAAATGTATCGTGGATCGATCTCCCTCCGGCCGAGTCATCTCCTGTAACTTTAAACCCGATTATCCGATCTATCTCTTTTTTTCACCGTCGACCTTTCCCCTCGATACCTCGAGCACGCGCTGCTCGCCGAGGGAACCGCGACCCGCAGAAGTTCTCCTTCCTCTTCTACGCGGAACTGACTTCTGAGCGGAGCTTTAACTGCGGGGAATCCGTGGATTTCACGGTATTCTGGTTGAAGGTGTTAGAAGATTTCATAGTCAAGAAATTACTATTAGAAATTACTATAAGAAACACTATTGTAGTTTTTATGTCACATTTCTCACGGTAATCTAAACAAAAATTTAAAGTAAGAATACAGTATTGTAAGTTCGAAAGGTAATTTGACACTAAACCTACTAGATTTGTCATAATGACCCATTCCTGATTTCTCCCTTTTGCAATTATTGGACAAATAATAGTTGTTTCTGCGAGAAATTATTCAAGAAATTGATTTAGGACTACAGAAACTGAATTGTGAATCAATTAGTCTCAATAGATGTACTTTGGAAGTTGCTATAGAGGAATTTGAAAAAGTCGATTTAACTGCTCGGTAGGTTCAGTGTTAATAATTTCTTTGTTGTGTTAAACCTTTGTACTCCAGAAATGTTTTAATGGAAATAATCGACATTTTCTTATGAGGTACGGACATTTTGTAGAAATTAATTAACCAGAACTCGCACATAAATTGAGGAACAGAATTGTTTTATTTTAATTTTTCCTATATTGATGCATTATACAATGTTTGGTTATGTCTTTATGGTATTAAATATCAAACTTTACAATTTTGCTGTGACAAATCAATTGGGGACTGAGTGGCGCCTCTGAAGTGCATAGAATGAAGACCAAGAGTCGAATAAAGATAATACATAATAACTCAAGTTTAATTTCTTTGGTGAACTTTTAATTTTTACTTTTTTAAACAAAATTAATTACATTTACAAATTAAAATTGCAATGAAAATTTTTTATGTATTCTTTAAATAAAATTAAACGAAATAAACCCCTAGGGACCGCCATAGCAGTTAAAGTGTTAAATTCGCTTCGAAACGAACGGAGAGACGGTAACCGGCTAACGTGTGCGAGATTCCCTTCTTCGGGTTCAAGAACAAGGGAAATTACGGCCGCCGAAGGAAACTACGGGCGCAGGACCGATAGAATCGTACGGTTTAACGATCTAAAGTTCCTTGCACACGTTGAAACATGTTGCGATGCATGCATCGACTCCTAAGTTTCATGATATAGAGGGTGTTTCTCTTGATTTCGAGACCTTAATTGCGTCGTTATTAACCCTCTGTCTCATGATTTCTTTCACAACTGTGCTTGGTAAAACTACTTTATCATTAACACGTTGACTGCCACGAGAATTTCGAACGTTTTGTGTAACAATCCATATTCTTTCATAACAAAGGCAAATGGTATTAAAAATAATAATTAATCAGTTGGTATCACGGTACACGTGTTATACTATCAAGCTGTTTATGTTATTGAGTATCTTTATTCGACATCAGTTTTCTTATTGTAATTGTATGTAAGTAATTTTGAAGCTCCGGTTACTGATCACCATGGGAGTCAACGTGTTAATCATTTATTAGCAAAAGAGCATTCGATGTTGTCCATGTTTACCCTAAAGGTTAACGACTGATAATAGAGAAAGAATATGCAGAGGAAATGATTGGTGCACCATAAACACAAACCTTTGAGAAATATGATGGTGCTTGAAAGGAGGCCGGTCTCACAGGACAGCATAACAAACTCATTAATGAAGTACTAGAACTAAATGTCATTAATTATAAATCACACTTAAATATAAATAATAACACAAACATGCATAATAAAAGAATCACGTATCATCAAAAGTATAGTATATTACCTAAGAAACTTTCATTTCGCAGAAAAATATATGCAATTTCTTTGAAACACAAAAATAT